GCCGCACAGATGCAGAAGGCTGTCATTCTTGGCTCACTGCGTTTGCTCAGGGCACATGATTCTCGGACCCAATGATCACTTACCCCACGGTGTGGGGAGTGGTCATTGGTTGATTATGCTGGCGCGCCCTCCCGAATGTATCGGGGCTTCGGGGGATAGGGCCTGACCAGCGCACACTACGGTGGAAAAAAAAATAATAATAATAAGCAGGGATGGCCACTAACACCCTTGGCCTTTGGTGAGTTGCGACACCACTTACCCGAGCAACTGGTGCAAAACCGGACCGGCAGCCCAGGCGCAACCGGGAAGGAGAACTCTATTCTCCCTCCGGTCCCGGCCGTGGGTCTAACCACCCGCTGGAGCCAACACTTGGTTCCAATAATCAAGGAAGACGCCCCCACAATCGACCCGCTCGGAGGGGTCAGAAACAACGTGGTGGGGCCCATAACGATGATTTGCCTACAGATGACAAACCTGGCAATGAAAACGGACGTTTTGAGTGGACGCATGATCTATGCATTATGCATTGCTACGAGATTAGTGAGCCGTTGCGAAGAGGGTATATGGCGAGATTGCATGCTCTGTGGTGTGAAACACATCTGGATCATGCCACCTCTTCCGCCCAAAACCTTAGGGATTACGTATCTTATCTTCGGCACCAGGGATATTTAGCTCCTTCCCAGCCTGCTAACGAAGTGGTAAAAGTGACAGTTCTACCACCCGTTGGCACGGCTGGAGAGGAAACTCGTACCATACCACCAATGGAGACGACAATCAGAACACGCAGGGCGCTCCACAGAATTAGGCCCCTGAAGCCACAAGAACTGGCTTGTTTGGATGCGGAGGTTCATAGTGTTTTAACAGAAGAGTCTGATATCTGGCAAATCAACACCGCCGTATCGTCCAATCGGTTTCCGAATCGGAAGGACGAAATCACGGCCTAGCGGTTCGGAAGATCACCTTACTGTGAAAATTGTGTGAATTTTAATCTACTAAGAGAGTATACGAGATTGGTCCTTGAGACAGACCAAATATACGTAGGTTTAATGCATAGATAAATCCACACTTTGATTATAAAAATATAATTAACTCACTGATGACTTGATAGAGTGTCGAAGTGTGACTTTACGTTTTTGCAAGAGGCTGCTCACTTTTTTTTCCAAATTATCACTGTCAAACATATTTTATTTTTGATCATTTTCAAAAATGATTTATTCAGTAGAACACAAACTATGTATACTGTAGTAAACATAACTGTATACACTATAGATATCCGAGCGAGAGAAATAGCGTAACGCCGAACTAGTGAAATCGCACAGTCGCGCATTGTCATCCGTCGTCACGTTATGCGTCGCCTCGCCATCAATCGGTTTTACAGCCGCACATAAAAAATGAGATGAGTTTTTTATCAAATTGAAATACC